ATTGCAAATAAAGAACGCTAGGCCAGCACTGGAATTGATGTCCATAGAATGGGAGTCTCGAAGTTCAAATGAAGCAACTCGGTGGTTTGGGTCATTCCTGAATATATTTGATACTGCCCCTTCTCCACTAAAGAATTCCACCATGGTCCAGCGAATGCCACAGTCAACATTCTCGGTCCACATCAAAAGCATGACTATTCCCAAGAGTACCTGCCAAATGGTAGGGAGGATGACTAGTATATACTTTTAAAATCATGACTTCTCAAGAAAACACAGTGGGGCCTTGGGGGCGCCAATTTGCGCGAGGTTCATGATAACGCTTCCCTCTCTCTTCACCGCCATGCTGAATCCCCCAAGGAGCTTGGATGCAAAACTGCGAACTGGAGATGTGTCAGCACTACACTTCTCGAGGCAGCGAAGCATTTGACATTGCATACGTGTCATGCATTATGAAAAGGATGTCTTCTAAAACAGGCCAGTTGTGCTTCTTGAAGCAGCCCGCGTAGCAAACCGCTCAAAATGTCGTGGCATCGGTACCTGGAGATCAAGAATTATATAGATCGATCTTAGATCATATAATATATATAGATACGATATATATATATATATATATGCATGACTCGGATTAGCCTAAAGCCCATACCAAAATTGCAATAGAGCTCTCGCGGAAGGCCTTTTTTGCAGGCAGTCTTGTCTAAGCTAGGGTCAGCAGCGCACCGCAAGTAGCCCCCTGAAATGATTATGTACTCACAGCTTGTCGTGCCAATCCATGCCAATTAAACATGCCCATGGCAACTGACAAGCGTCGGTGCACGGAATCGCAATAAGCCCAGCATAGGCAATCTTAGCCCATCAATCCCCGGCAATTGGATCATCCCGGATCAAAGCGTCTCAGCATAGGCCTGGGCAGAGTTGGACGTCTACGTATGTAGGGTCCGTGCAGGTATGATCATAGAACCCCCCATGCATACACATGCATACACAAACTTTGACCAAGACACCTTCTTTGCCGCTGCACGCTTCTCCTCCTCTGAGCCCTTTGTACTGCGATATGCCTTCGCATAAGCGCATGACTTCCTGCTGTTCCTCTTCTTGGCCTCCTGCTTTAAGCGTTCCTTCTTGGCTCGCTCGAGGCAATCGCGGGTCCTTTGGGAAGGAGTGCCTGCGCTGCCAGGCTCCTCCTCTGATGGCTTTGCCATCACCATAGGACCATTTCCATGGGCGCTCGGAGGAGGTGTCAGCTCACTTTGCTCTTTCTTGGCACGTCTCTTTTTTGGCTTCTCACTCTCACAAACCTCAGGAGTCTTGCATCGCTTCACTCTTTTTTGCCTGGGCAGGTTGGTCTTCACGTTGTTCTTCCTGCATTGCCGCTTTCCGCGTCCTCTTCCTCTTGGGTTCTTCTTCATCTTTCTTGTTGCCTTCAACATCCTTCTTAGTTCCTCTCTTCCGAGATTTCTTCTGAGTGTTGGCATCCTGCTTTTCCTCCTCCTCCTCCTCCTCCTCCTCCTGCTTTTTGGCTTTCGACTTTGGCTTCCGCCCACGCTTTTTGGGTGGACACTGCTCGTCAGGGTGAAGGTATGCGTCAGCACCCCAAGACTCAGGCTTTGCTGGCATTTCCACTTCAGGCTCTTTTACTTCTTCAGCATTCTCCTTCTTCTTTCTTGACCGGCGTGCTCTTGCTTCAGCTTGGGTAATCCACGTGTCAGCTCTTATTTCAAGAGCAGTTTTTCCATTTGCGAACCGCACATTCTCCATCAGCTTGGTTTGTGAAGAGGCTTCACCTTTGGACACCCCAGCTTCAGCCTTGGGCACTGCATCTTGGGGCGCTGACTCAACTTTCTTTTGAACCTTGCTTCCTGAAAGAAGCTCAGCATCCTCGTCCTCTTCCCTATAGCACGCAAGCGCCAACTCCCAGTCCAATTTTCGGCACACATCCATGTCGAATATATTCACTTTGGTCTGGGAGATTGGAACATCCCAACCTGGCGGGATGATCATCCGCTTCTTGCATCTCTTAGGCACGGTCCCCGACTCCTCCCTTTCCCCACCCTCATGTGGCATTTCTTCTGCTGAAGCCTCACCGCCATCAAGTTTCTTCAATGACCTGACTTCATGGTGGCCAGACTGCTCAGACTGCAAGCTGCCAGAAGGGGCCATTTCTTCCTTTTCATTCTCACGAATCACAGGCGTCGTTCTCATGGCCTGTGCACTTTCTGCATGTGAAGCTTCATTGCCCTTCCTTGTCTCTACATTCATGATCTCTGTCACGAACATTTGTTGGGTTTCGGCAGCATCGCAGCCTCAGGTGAGTTGTCATTGTTGGCAGACACGAAACGTGTGCGCTTTTAATTGCACATATTAAGCTATAAAAGTACCATTCCAGTTCATGCAAGAAACACGGACCCATGTGTGGATGGTACCATTGCTGCTGCAGTTTCTTAAGCTCAGCGAGGCTTCGCAATTGCGAAAGAAGTGATTGTAGCATGCTCAATTTGCGCAGCCTGTCATCAACCTTCTCCGGTGTGTTGTTCACGACCATGGGGCCTGCGCATGTGAAGAATATGCATGTATATGCATGCATGTTCATACACTGTACTGGCGCTCACAAGGAGTTGACCCTAAATTCACACATCACCACATGCACAGACACATTCAACAGTGCTGCGAATCTGGACGCCTCGAGGTGGTGGGGTCACCAACGCAGAGCCATTCATTGCAGAGCTTGGAGACGTGGCACTTGGTGGAGCCTTGGACCGAGCGAAAGCAGGATTACCCCAAGGACCCTGAGCATGTTGGTCGAGCTGTATAGCTACATGCACTCAACCCGGAAAGAATGCCGAGTAAGTAGCAGGTGTAGCTGCGACAGGAGGTGGATGTGCCACAGTCGTCTCCTTCTTTGGCATCGATTCACCTAAGATCCCAAACTTCATAGTACGAGCATGGGGGATGTTGAGGTCCAAACGGAACAAACAACATCCGGCAACCGGTACTACTTATAAAATCATATCCTAGGAACCTTGAGGTGGTTCATGGTGCACGGGTCCAGGTTCTACAGCTTCTAGAGGAGGCTGAGGAGGATTTTCAACTTCAACTTCAGGATCCTCCACCGCCTCATCATGTTCCTCTTCACCTCCTTCACCTTCTTCACCTTCTTCACCTTCTTCACATTCAACCTCGAGGTTCTCATTAGATGCAGGCCCATACAAGGACAGATCCACCCCGGTTTCAGACATCAGCCTGCGGATGCTATCCTCTCTTGGCAAATGTTGGCGTCTGACAATGTCGTTGTAGAGGGACATCATCCGCCGCAGGCACCAGGCTTGGCCATGAATGACACCACCTTAGTATGTTTTCTCCCAGGCAGTGATATATATAAAAATATATGTTAGTGATCATGCAAAGAACCTGGGTGGAGCAGAGCATATGCGGCTTGGGCGCCATCGATGGGAACCTTCATGAAATCATAAAGACTCTTCAGGTGGAGGTAGTTCACATCAACCCCAACGCGGGACCCCAAGTGGTTGATCGCTTCCTTGAGTACTGCCTCATTTTGGGTCAGGGCATCACGTGTGATGATGTTGCCACCAACGATAACCTTGGATTGTCGAGGCCGGAATGTTAAGAAGTTGCAACCTGAAACAGTGCATGGTGAATCACCACTCCCCCAAAGCAAACAAGTAGCAGCTTCGCACCTGCGGGCCCTGAGTCTAATAGCTTCTTGTGCTTCCCACGCTTTAGCTAGATCGGTTGCCATGGCCACCCTGAAAGGCAAAGTAGATTGAGCCGAACTGTGCCTGTTAAGCCAGAGGTTGTACAAGACATTATGCATGGTCATGTCAAGAAGGCCACCATGACCACTGTGAAACCATAAAGCGAAGGCGCACCACAAGAGCAAGGCTCAGTCCAATCAAAGATGCGAAGACGCACCGCCTTAGCAAGACTCAGTCCCTCGAGGTGGTGGGGTCACCAAATCTGGATGCCTCGTGATGTCATGGTTTCAAGATGTTTCCTTAAGTCATACCTTGCAAGTGCAACTCAAGCCATACTGCATCCCAGGGACATCAAACAGACATGGCTATCCCACTTCGTGCAACATCGGATCCTGAGATAGACAGCAGGTGTGATTAAACATGACCTGCCCTTAATGCACATGATATGCATATGTGAATACCCTCGAGTATTTCATCCAAGGCTCGATGTACCCGGGTGCCAGCCGACACCGCTCTTGAGTCGAGCCAAGGATTGCGCACACGGCGACACACTTGGCACCGGTCGATGGTGCCAGAAAAAGATGGCCCGGATTCATGTGGATCCACTATGATCCATGTGGTTTTCTTTGGATTTCTAGTGGTTTTAGTGGACTTGGGTGTTGCATAGTAGAATCCAACGTTTATGACCAAAAGACTATCATTTCCTAACTTCACGTGAGATTTCCTGGATTTGGAAGGTCCAGGAAGTGTCTTTCTTCCTCTATGGTTGGTTTCCACATCTTTGGCTTCGCCATTTCTTGGTTTGGACGATTTTGGACTGGAGGCGACTGTTCTAAGGGTCTTTGGTAAGATCCAAACAAAACAAACCCAAACCGAACCAATTTGGCGGTCGACCGTGCTCTTCACACACCGAAACATCCGCCAGCCATCAGAGACCTGCTGAAACCCAACCGACGCGCCCAAACAGATGGAAACAACCGACGGACCTATAGGGTTTCTGAAGGAAACCGGAGGTGTCCAAACTACTTAGAATATATGGGTCTAGTACGGATTAGAAAAACAAGACCCGAGGTTTTAAGAACAAACCTGACATTTGTGATTTCACAAGTTTCGATATCGAGACCCCAAACAAATTGACAGGGTTTGGGTGCATAAGGTGGTTTCGAAAGAAGTCCACAGGCCCTCCTCATTGTTCACATCAGTTGAGCACCTCAAGCGAACACCTCAAGTTGGCATTCAGCCCGTGGACGATCTGCCTGGTGGTCCACCCGGTTTTCACCCCAAAGACGCCTCACCCAGCTCGAGCGGCCGCCGCGGCGGCCTGGTGACCGTAGGAAGAGGTCCGTGGGTCCGGACTGAGGCGTGGAGCATTCGGATCTGTTTACTGCGAGGGATCGGTTTGTCCCGACATCGAAAAGCCACAGAAGGCAAGCACCGTCATCGCAGCCCGACATCCTAAGACCTCTGGGATGGGCTGGACATCACCCGATGGAGTTTTTTCAGCAACACAGGTTGACTTGGACTCATGGTGGCCACCGAACGTGCTGCAAACACCTTAAGTTCATGGAAAGAAAAAGGACTCATCAGTGAACAAAAACACTTTGGAACCCTTGCTTACACAGCTGCCCATTTGTGCTTTGGATAAAATCAGCTCTACAAGGCCAGTGACGAGGCTCAAAAGGCACCCAAACCCGCGGGATGAACACAAACACTGTGAATCCCAGCGATTCATTCACCTGCAGCCATGTTTGGGGAACAAGTGTAGACTTGCAAAAGTTCCTGGGCAACTCCATTTCCCGCTGTGTTTGACATCCATCCCATATATGGCCCTTACCTACCATCCGATTATCATATATAATATGCATCCCATTGTATCCCTATCATTCATGAGGCGAGTTTCATGGGGGGACCAAACTCAGTCAACGCCTTCTTTCTCAGTCTCAACCCCGGCGGCCCTTTCCCATACCAAGCGAAGCGGCCCTTGCGTCGGCGCTGAAGTCACTGGCCTGGCACGGGCAAGTTGGAAAATGAAGAGAGGCAAAGTACGGATGAAGAGAAAGTTTGGGGTTCGCCAAATCTGCTTCCAAAGGGAAGAACAGCGTGGAGCTGCCGTTGGCTTAAATGATCCTCCTGTTGCAAAGGCAGAGTGCTATGCAAAGGATCACTGATGATAAGGATGAACAAGAATCACACGCCGGTCACCGTTTGCTTTCTCCAGCAATTCCTCATTCTACGAAAGGTAGGACAAGGAGTCGCCTGCAATGATGTCCTTTTGGGAATTATAGAGAGGTGAATTTGGTATTATGTACGGTATATGTACTGTATATTATATATATATTATTATATATATATATATTGGTTGTACCATGCTGTACCCTCGGGACAATTCCAGTGGGTATCCCTTCTATTCATCAACCGAACCAATAGCAAAAGGACATCAAGCTGGTGGCCTTTTGGAGTGACTCTTCGAAGGTCGGAGGCTCCAAGGTCCTTCCTTTTTGTCCACTCATGTGGGCGCATCACTTCGGTGCTAGCCATGTCCAGTCAAGCAGCAGCTTGCTCAGCTTGAGCAAGAGAGTCCTGTTGCCTTACCGTTCCTTCTTGTGGAAAATCATGAATCCTAGACTCATAGACTCTCCAAGCCATACCACAAACTAGATACAGCGATGTAACACCAAGCCTCGTGGACGCTGCCAATGACCCCACTCCCGCTCTCCCACCGACCCCGCCTGGGTTGCTGTGGAGGTGGCGGCTGTGGCCTCCGCTCACCGGGTCGGAGAAGACAGGAGGACTGGACCATGGGCAAGGAGGGACCAGAACATAACGTCCGAACTCGATTACATCAAAATAGATCAAAACTAGTAAGCTAAATGTCAATATGTGTGACTGTGTGACATTCTTCACAACATGATAACATGCTGAGAAGAAACATCTAACGCCTTGATTTCCAGGACTGCTGTCAGTAGATCGGTGCAAAGGTCCTTCAACAACCCTCCTGGATTCACATTCACCTGTAGGGTTGCTCCTGGAGCAGCGTGGTGTCCAATGAACTCCACACAATGAGTAGTTTTGAGCCTTCTTCACAGGTGCTTGTCTCAATCTGGAAGACCATCAACCTGTGATTTCTTGGCTGTTCTCCTAGTCTATCTTTATATCCAATTTCCCCATCCAACCAGGGTTTGTGAGGGCTCCTTTAAATCTACAGATCCTCAAAACGTCACTCAAGTCGGTATCGAAGGATCCTCGTCTTCATCCAGTTTCACTCAGCTTCACCTGCCTGCCCGAGGGTCTGCCAGGTCGGGAAGGTCTGGCAGGTCGGGAAGGTTTCACTGATGGCCTCCGGTGGGACAGCTTGGAACCGGAGAAACACGTTGATGCCTTACCGCCATCACCACCATGACCACTACTACAAGTATTACTACAAGTACTACTACGAGTACTACTACTACTACTACTACTACTACTACTACTCCTACTACTCCTACTACTCCTACTACTCCTACTACTCCTACTACTCCTACTACTACTACTACTACTACTACTACTACTACTACTACTACTACT